TTATTGTTTGCATCCTGTTGTGTATTACTAAAGAGTGTTTCACTCAGGGCGGAACCCGGCATTTTGTTAATAACTCGGGTACTAATAAAGATACTGCAACGAAATTTGGAGTTGACTTACCTCAGTTCATGTGAAGTCTTGTGACATCATAACAAGTGCTGGAAATGGCCACCATTTGTGTCCAGACAGCATTGTACTCGGTGCGCCATGTTTTGGAAAGTCCTTGCCCATACGTCAGGTGTCACTTCTTGGATAGCCTCACTTATGATTGCTTTTAAAGCCTATGACTCGCGGTTTGTTGAAGTAAACCTGCGCTTTCAAATGTCCCCACAAAAAAATAATCAGGCGGCATTAGATCAGGCGAGCGCAGTGGCCAAAGTCCCCTGGAAATGACGCTCGCCCGATCTAACGCCTCCTGATTTTTTGTGGGGACATTTGAAAGCGCAAGTTTACGCCAACAAACCGCAAACCATAGAGGCTTTAAAAGCAAACATAAGTGAGGCCGTCCAAGAAGTGACACCTGACGTATGGGCAAGGACTTTCCAAAACATGGCATGCCGAGTCCAATGCTGTCTGGACGCAAATGGTGGCCATTTCCAGCACTTGTTATGATGTCATCAGACTTCACATGAATTGAGGTAAGTCCACTCCAAATTTCGTTGCAATATCTTTATTAGTATCCGAGTTATTAACAAAATGCCAGGTTCCACCCTGAGTGAAACACCCTTTATATAGTATTATTATACAACCATCAACATAACAAATTTGTAATAAATAAACCACCATTATTGCATTAATATTCGTTTATTATGTACATTTTTTTGCATGTTTTGAGCCAGCTGGATCATCAACAGGCAACATTCATGAAGTGTATCACTCATATTGAATTGCATTTCTAATGTGGATCCATGTTAGTGGTTATATATTTCATTACGATTCTTATGTTTCATTACATCTGAATATTAGTCTTAAAATGTAAAACATTATAACTCAGAAGTTAAAAGTTAAAATTAAATTAAATTAAATTAAAATTAAAATTAAAATTATGAAGTATCATAAAGTAGAGGGGTTTTCTGGGAGTTTGCTTTGCTTTTTAACACTTTGCGGACCGGACGCCTAGGCCTAGGCGTTTGGGTTTTAAACGTGGCAGACTGGTCGCCTAGATTTAGGCTTTTAGGACACGTTATGTTGCAACACACTATTCCTCGCTTTGGTGGCCACGTGTCTGTAAAAGTACTGTGTAGCTGACCTTCGGAATGTTTGTTTTCCGAGTCAGCAACGTGACTGCTCTCTATTCCCCTCTCACGCTAAAGAAAAGTGCCTTTGTTCAAGTCGAAGCTTCTATGTGTGAGGCAAGATATTCTCAGTGTCGACATGGCTCAGAGACGAAAGCAGTTGAAGGCCGAGCGAGCTCTCAGAGAAGAAGAAATCTGTGATTTGATCTCCGATGAGTTATCTGACTTGCCAACTGCTTCGTCTTCTGATAGCGAGGGCAGTGTCAGTGGCAGTGACAGGGGCCCCCAAAATAATGTGACCAGAAGAGAAAGTGAAAGTGACAGTGAGAGCTCGGATGAAAGTGCGAGTGCTAGCATTGCGGGGACAGCCACATGGGGTAAAGTGGACAAAACACCCACTTCGGGAAAGTTTACTGGTGATCCAGGGGTGAGACAAATGCCATCGGACCCTACACAAGTGTCTGAAGTAACTGAACTGTTTTTTGGAGATAGTTTCTTTGACATGTCGTGTGAGGAGACCAACAGATACTATCTCCAACAGATACTATCTCCAACACCGTGAGGCATACGACAGTACCTATAAGGTGTTGAAGTGGGTGGATGTCACTTCAGCAGAAATGAAAAAAAAAATTTGGCAATAATCATTCTCATGGGGCT